ATTTGTAGGTTAATTTTCTCGAGATTTTTACCCCGTAAAATTTGTTAAGAAAATCAAATTTTAGTATAATAAGAACAATTTTAAATCGCTAAGGCGTAGGATTAATTTTTGGGATTTTTTTTTTGTTGACGGTGTTACGCATATTTTTCATACAAATAATGTCCGACCATTTTTTTTTAAAGAGAAGCAAATGAGCAGCACTTTCCACTAAAGTACTCAGTTTTAATGGGTTACAAAACTACAAACCAATTTTTTTTTCTAAAGATTCTAATTAAAAAGATTGAAATTTTGGTGAAACCTTGTAGAATTAATTTTTATAGTTTTTTTGCACAAAGTTGAAAATTTGTATTATATGGTTTTTGTTAGGAAAAGAGCTTTGCTTTCATAAAATAAATAATAAACATTAAATAGACTAAGGAAAAATAGCTAAAACTTACTAAAATATCGAGTCCTAATTTCCATTTTGGTCACTGTATGTATTCCTAGATTCGAGTCACAGGCATTTAGATAAGAAAATAACCACAGTTTATGGAGAAAATTAGGACCATATACCGGGGAAGCAAGCTCGTGGGGAATTCCCGGATTTGCGGGGAATTTGGGTTTGCTTGGGGAATCGGGAAATTGACCATTTTTTGTGGGGAATTTCAGTTCACGTGCAGAATCGGGAGATGAACTGCTTTTTGTGAAGAATTAGGTGTTAACTAATTTATTCTTTTTTGCTTCACTAATTTCACAATGGGGTAAAAAAGTCGCGTAAGAAATGCAACTGCAACTAAAATACTGATTATACAATCCGGCAAATTATACAAATTACCGTTGATTTAGAACTTTCTTTGTCGCATTTGCGTTCATATAACGAATAAACATACTTTTTTTATAAGGAAGAAAACCGCAACACTTTCGGGGGAAAAATTTGAAAACGAAAATTTCTTTAACTTTACTTTAACTTTAACGCGCACCACGATCTTTGGCACTCAAGCCTGCCAAATTATCGTAGGGGAATACATCTGGCTGAGCAGATAGACGACATTCTGAACAATGAACGACGATGCACCCACCCGGATTATGGGCAGCCGCTGCAGCTCGCCAGATCTAACAATTGTCAGCTTTGGTCTGATAATCAGTATATAATGGCAACCTATGCTGACCACTTGTTGCACTTGACTGATCTCACATTACGGAATATCATGGACTAACGCACAGTGCAGATTGTCGGAGGAACTAGGAGTTTTTGGTGGAGGCGTGTTGGTGGTGGTGCAGTTGTATCGGTGGTGTGGTCTGTTGTGTCAGTGGCGTTGTCTATTGTATTGTATTGTGGTGCGGTGTGTTTGTGTTGAGTGGCTCAAGCGGACTCTGTTGTGCTGTGGAGGCAGCTCTATTTACGCAGCAAGGGGCCACGTACGCGGTAATCCACTGCCTATGAGTCGTAAAGCCTGAGCAAACTCGGAGATGGCTCCACCCATTGCATGTATTGTATCTGACGGAGGTAGAGTGGTAGTGTAATCGATTCTGGCACACGCAGCAGGTATATGTTTCTCGTCCAGGGTTTGATTCAATGCCCTGAGCAGAAGTATGCGAAGAAGATGTAGCTCTATGGATATACAACTTTTGAGGGATTTCGCCGACCTAAACGGGGTTAAATCGCCGAAACAACAGCCCTTGGTCGGGTAAACCCGAGTCATTCCGGTACGTAGAACCGGCTGTCGTGGGAATTTTTGACCCTAATATTGATTATGTATGCTGGAGTATATTACTCTTTGCATTATGTGGTTCATGAAGCAGCTGACTTACTCAAAAATAACTCGCATTAAGCAGAGGAACAAATGGTATGATAGGCAATTGACAGAGATTAACAAGTTTAAGTCCAAAGTGATAATAAATAACACCAACTAAGTAGACAGCTTTGAAATTTCGGAAAACTTAAATAATTTTTTCGTGGACAGCATTTTGGAAATACATACCAATTTAGACTGTGTAAACTATGACTTTTTCGAGCAAGGAACTTCCACAAGTAAGCTAAAAATTGAAGAGGTCTTAACGGAAGACATTCTTCAAATTGCCCAAAAATTTAAGCGGAAAATTGGGGGAAACAACCTACTATCTGAAGGTGTTATTAAGGACGCTGCTGATTATATGGGATATTTCTATGCCCTACTAATAAATAAGAGTCTCCAAACAGGATCGGTACCGGAAGAATGGAAAATTTCATCAATAGTGCCCGTTAAGAAAGTTAGAAAAATTATTAAAACTGAGGAGCTTAGACCCCTCATTACTCTTCCTAGCTTGGAAAAAATGCTGGAAACCGTTGTAAAAAAAACAGCTACAGTACTATGTGGAATCCAATAAAATACCCATAAAAGAACAAACTGGATTCAGAGCTAAACATTCCTGAGACTGCGCTGAATCTGGTGCTTTCTCAATCAAAAGAAGATCTTAACTGTCACCTTAATGTAGTGGCAATGTTTATTGATCTTAAAAGAGCATTTGAAACAGTTGATTGGGTCCGCATGTTGGATAAGCTAAAATATATTGGCATAAAAAATACTGAGCTTGACTGGTTTAGAAGCTTTCTTTGTAATCGTAGGCAACAAACAATAGTTAATTCAAAGATGTCTAGTAAGATAGCCGTAGACATCGGATTACCACAGGGCTCAGTTTGGGCACCCCTACTCTTTAATATATATATAAACGATATTAAAAGTTCTCTCAAACATTGTAAAATAAAACTCTTCGCGGTTGATGACTTGTTAACGGTCAGTGATAGGAAACTACCAAATGCGATTGTCAAAATGCAAGAAGATCTTAATTCTTTGTATCAATGGCTGTGTTCAAATAAACTTAAAGTGAATATGAAAAAGACTAACTTTATGGTATTGTCCAGAGCGGCAAATGCTGACTCCTTAAGCTTCGAATTAATAATCAAAGATGAAAATATCCAAGAGGTGAAAAGTGTCAAGTACCTAGGAATATACATAGACAACAAAATAAAGTTTGATGAGCACGTTGAGTATACAGTCAACAAGATTGCTAAAAAAAATTGGCCTTATAAAGAGATCGTGTAAGTACTTGGGAAGAAGATATAAAACATTGGTGTACAGGTCAATAGTAGAACCCCACTTTATTACTGCCCTACGATTTTCTTCCTAGAGGGGGATTCGCACGTAGATAAGATGCAAAAAACGCAAAACCGAGGGATGTGATTCATCCTCAAAAAAACGTACGACACACCAACAACATGTATGCTTGAAACCTTGAATTGGCTAAGCGTGAAGCAACAAGTTTAACCACGCTATGAAATTTGTGTACAATTAATTAAGAAGGGCAACCTGTCGGATTATCTTAGCGATAATCTCCCATATATAAATGAGACCCATACATAATTGTAAGAGAGAATAACAGCTTCAGACTCCCGAAGTATAAAACGGAGGTGGACAAAAAAAAATATTTTTTATAAAGGCTTAAAGTGCTTTAATGAATTACCAGAGGCTATAAAAAATTGTGATACTATATATGACTATTGTAGAACGCATCCTATAAGTTATGGCGACTTCGTTTCTACAAATAATGTTGCCTTCTCATCGCCCTCTTCATAGTGTTTGAGCGTAGAGGGCAAAGAGGAGGTTGCATTTTTCGGTAGAAACGAAATCGGTATTAGTGATGTATGAACAATAGCGTCGATTGGAAACTAGGCCTTTCCCACGACCAAGATATCGAGACTAGGTGGATCGGAAACTCAGCCTTTCCGACTACCCAGAGTACATTTAAAAACCTTAGATAATAAACAATAAATGAGCGGATTGGAAACTAGGCCTTTCCAACCGTCACGAAAGCGCGACTGGGTGGATCGGAAACTCGGCCTTTTCGATCACCCAGGAGCAATCAAGATACGGAGTATAGCGCGGATTGGAAACTCGGCCTTTCCAACCGTCTACATAACCTCCGGACAATGGCATGGTTTTATATTGATATAAAATAATTTCAGTGATAAAGGATAATGTTATTTAAAAATTTCCGTAGAGCATATCTTATTTAATATTTAATTTTTAAATCTGAGTCTAATTATAAGAATGTTAAATCGTTATTGTAATATAAGTCTAACAGCCAGTAAAAAAATAAATAAATAAATAAATATGTTAAAGTCATTTTATTAGTGGGAATAGTTTTAAAAATAAAATGCTTTCTTATTATCAATTTGCGTATCATAAATACTAATAAACGTAAATAACTAGACCCCTCGTGAAAAAATTTACAAAAATATGTTCATCGGGCGTGCGCCTCTGGGACGTAGACAACAAATTGTTCAAAATTAACGCTTACCTAGCTACATCAAACTTGCAATTTATTATAATAAATCGGCTAAGAATCGGCCAAAAACAGCCGATGCCGATGCCGATTCTTTTGGACGATACTAGCCGATGCCGATTAATCGGTCGGACTCTAGACACCTACTTACATATGTATAACATTCGGCAATAAAGCTTTTTTTAAATAGTTCTACTGGAAGGATCGAAGTACTTCCTTAAGCGCCGGTTGTTCAATGTCTGATTAGCACAAATCGGAGGTAGAAGCTCCGGTTAAATACAACGACTGCTTTATCGATCACATGTTAGATGCATTATGTCGAAAACGTCGATAATGATGTTTAACCGGCCACTAGTGATAACCAGATATTGAACAACCGGCCCTAAAAGAGTTTAAGGGCCGTTTGTTCCATGCCCGGTTACCACACATCGGAGGTAGAAGCTCCATTTAAATACAACGACAGCTTTATCGATCACATGTTATATGCATGATGTGGAAATCGTCGACAATGATGTTTAACTGGGAGTTGGTGATAACCAGACATTGAACAACCGGCCCTAATTATTTTTGACAACCTCCGATTTCCTGACATCAGGATGGTAAGAAATGAGTTATGGGGAGTAAGTACTAGCACAAGGTATTTGAGGTCAATGAACCTTGGGACATAAAAATTGTCTGTTCCCGTACTCCAGGATTTGCAGGTTTTACAGGAACAGCTGTTTTCGCCTTTAATAAACCTTATGTGAACGTAGCGTACGGGAACGACTTTGGACTAAATAGTGCAAAACGTAGACATTCTGGAACGTTCTAATTGTGTCGTCGAGGCAAAAACCTCCATATATCATACTTTAAGAGCAGTCTGAAAGTGCCGAAGATATGACGAAAAATGTGCAACGGCGAAAATATTCAACTCGAAACCCGCTATTGGTAGCAGAGCAAGTGGTGAAGGACTTGGCTTTCTTTGGCTTTTCCAGTTGGGGTCAGTTGGCACAGAAGAGAAATTTTACCTTTTACCTATATCCGTAATGCCCCAATAAAGAATAATTTATTACCAATGTTATTTCAGGTCAAACAGGACAAATTTTTTCTATAGCGTCAGTTATAAAAATACCCGACTGAAATTTAAGTATTTTGGGCTCTTTTTGGGTTTATACAAGTTTAACCTTGCAGAGTTAACAAATAATTATTAAGTTTCTAAGCCCACTTACCGCCGCAACGTGAAAATGTCCCAGGTGGTCCGTAGCTAAGTTTCTGTATGGTACATTTTTCGATCGGTGCTGTTGGCTTACAGTAAGACGATTGATTTGCCCACGGCAATAGCTGTCGAGGTTGAGGGCAATTGGGCAAGTAACTAAGCTTATAAACGGTACAATTCTCGACGGGCCCATCCGCACGGCACACGCCTGGCCGTGGTCTAATAGGCTCTGGACGCCTAAATTCGCATACATTCACAGGCATATAGGAAAGTTTGTTAATAGTGCAGCGATCCATGGAACCAGTGGCGCGACATATAAGCGATTGCGGACGTATGGGCGGACGGCGGCAAATTGGTTTCGGTACAAAGTCATGCTTCTGTGTGGTCATATTATATAGAGGACCGCACGCCTTAAGACAGTTCTCTTTGGGACGAATAGGCTGCGTGCGGGCTACACAACAGTTGGGTTGGTATGACAGCTGTTGTGGAAAGAATGGAAGAGCAGATTAGTTTAGGGGCAAAATAGTGACCTTTTAGAGTTCAAATTAAATTTACCTTTTGTACGGTGCATTTTTCAAGTGGGCCTGTTGGCATGCATATACCCGGACTAGGACGTATTGGATGGGGACGACAGCAACGTGCATCCACCGGTAAGTAACTAAGTTTGTACACCGTACAACCATCGGTACGATCTGTTCCCAATGTTTTAATGCTATGCATGGGTACAACAGGAGCCGTACGTGCCGTACAACCATTTGGTAGATAGCTTAGATTATAGGTTGTGCAGAGATTTTCATAACGAGGTGGCACACAACGCACTTTTTCGGCCCATGGCATCGGCTCCTTAGGGACCGGACAAACTGGGAGATAACTTAGCTTCTGTATGGTGCATTTTTCACTTGGTCCCGTTGGCCGTTGTATGTTGTAAGTCTGTACCATCGGTTTGGGTGGTGGATTCCGGCATACATCAACCGGCATATATGACAACCGATTGATGGTACATCGCTCTAGTGGGTCGCATGGCTTGCAGATACCATTTATTGGCAATATGGGATTGCGTTTACTATAGCCCTTTGGCACATAGTCGTGCTTCTGTGAGGTCATTGCATAGAGTGGACCACAAAAGCGCAGCCCATTATCTGGCGGTCGTATGGGTGCGGTGCGATCCGGTGCGCACGGTGCCAAGTATGATAGCTTCTGCACAGTAAAAGATTCCATGCGGCCGGGATTCGGCACTAGGTTTGGACATGGTCGTATTGGTTTTGCACGATAGCAATCCCCGCAATTTGCAAAGTACGAGCGTTTATATATCGTATCCGTTTCCAATGGCGCTGTCGAACGCATAATGCATGACATCGGGCGGATGGGTTGGGCTCGCGGTGGTTGTTGATAGCAACAGCCCGCATAGTCACCACAGTCGCAGCGACATTTACAGTCGCCCCCTGGCGGGCACGGATTAAAATCGACCGGTGTCTGACAAGGGTCACACTTGGGCGGGCAGTACTGATCACAGGCCATGGTCGCATCCCCAGCACAGCCGTCACCTGTCAGGCACGGATTGCCAGCCTGACTACGGGTGAGACACGAAACGTAAAACAATAACAAATACAAATTATGCTCCTACGGAAGTTACCATTCGTTTCATGTTACTTACTCACACATCGCCGTAAGGCTTAGATTTTTATTAGAACTGCAGAGCTATTGATAGGAATGGGTCCAGAGCTAATGGAGTTTTTTGGTTACACAAAAACACGGATGAGCTATAATTTTGATTTTATGAATGCTCGAAAAAGGGAATTTTTAATAATATACATATAAAACAAAAAACACAGCGGACAAATTTGAAATTTTGTAAACGACAATGTGCCCGGTTTCAAGTTGAAATTTGATTTAAAATCAAGTGACTGCTAAGCAGAGTACGCGGGCGTATGGAGTAGTGACGGCTGGTATAATCCACAGTGTATAACCATTATTCAATAGGTTCATTCCTTATCTTTTTGGACTAACATCTGAAAAGTGTCCAAATGGAAGAGGGTAAGCAAAATGCGCTCACTAAAAGAGAATAACAGGAAAAGTAAAGGAACGCAAAAAACCAAATTTTTAGTCCAAAGAATGGCAACAACAAAGCTAACGTCAAATAAGAATGGAAATGTATGTACAAAACACATTCACACAAGCACAAGCACAATAAACACTTACTATATCAATTATTTTTTGCCTCCTTCCAATTTCAATTCACTTTTTAGATTATTCTCACTTTTTGCGTATTCTTTAATTTCCGTTAATTTAAATTCAGTTGAGTTCGGCACTTTTCAGGATTTTGCCAGAAAAAATTCTTCTGACTAAATCTGACTACTTCGGACTGATGAGAGTCACTCTCACTGAGTGTTGCTCTCTCATTTTTGCTGTCATTTCCGAGATAAGGAAAGCTTTTTGGACTAAATCTGACTACTTCGGACTTTTTCTGACTATTTCTGGGAGATAAGGAACGCTCCTAATAATAGAAAGGTTTGCTCATGATACAAAAAAGAAGGTAGTTCCATTGTCACTTTTTCGTCGCCATATTAACAACCTGACAATAAAGCAGATTATGACATTTCGTGCTACCATATCCTATATCTAAAATTATTCAAATTTTGTTATTAATTTTTGATTTATTTAAAGCATTTTGTTCTTATAATAGAAATTTGAACAAGCAAACGGTCTTTTTTTGGGTATGGTTCGATTATTTGACCAATGATTTTAGGTTATTGTGTTCACACGCATATCCCAAATAAAAAAATGTGAACATACGCCGGCGATCAAGGGATTAAAATTTGATTTAAAATAAAGATTTAAAATTTTCGAACACTAAATTGTTAATAAATTCGGTGTCAAATATGCACTTTTTTGTAAAAAATACCGTGTAGCCATAGTTGAGCAGATTAGGGTTATTTTTTCTAAGCGCGGCCGAAGGCCTCCAACGCGGAGAGGTATTCTGCGCGTAAGTTCTTTGGTTGCCGTAACCCGAGCTTACATTTTCTGGCAAAATGCTAAGTTTACCACATTTTCAAATGGGTGCCGAGCGGTCAGAGAGGTGAAGGGTGACTTTCCGTAAAGTTTTGACCGTTCTCTTTCTAATGGGTGGATTCATCAATTTTTTTTCACACCCGCTCCAATATTGAACAGTAAACTATATTAAAGGGATTCGCAAGCCAGCATAAAATTTTTATTATGAAATTTCACACCGTTAAAAAAGTATTTGGTTGTGGTTTCAAGTCCTCTAAACATTTGTTTAGCCGTTCAAAACTTTACGACACACGACAATAGGACACTTACGACACCTTGTGAACCATCTAGATATGTACTAAGTTCACACCGAAATGTGTATATCAGAAACAATTATCTTCGGTATAGAAAACCGTAATAGTCCTGGCTAGATACATTGTAAAATAATCAGATGACAAAAAGACACAAAAAAGATTGAAAAACCCCTACATATACATATGTATATGTTCACTAAAATTTAATTAACCTAAATGGGAAGTGGTCATCGTATTTAGTGTAAAATTTAAAAATTTTTAAGATACGATTTTAAGTACTTTTAAACAGTTAATGTTATTAAAACTATTTTATACATAATCCAAAATTTATGATATAAAATCCCCTCTACCAAAAAACTTAAATTGGGTACCGCCGCATCGAATTTTTAACAATCGAGCAATTGTCAAAAATCTGCTTTTTAATCAAAAAGTTGTTTACAAGGCACATAAATACAGGTAGAAGCCAAAATGACGTTGCTCTCATGAGAACCAAACCTTTAAACTTCAACTTGTTTTTCTTTTATTTCCTATATTTCGTTACGCTTTGAATGTCATATCGTTGTTTTTTTTTTTTTGAATGTTCGTTAATAACAAATTTTAATTAACATTTGAATTTTTGTAGTGTTGTGCAGTTTATACTTAATGTATGTGTTAAAAATGCAACACCGAAGCGTTGTTTTTTATGTGGTGTTAAATATAAAGCAGATACCATTTAACGTGCCTCAATGTCCTTCGCGTAAAGAGCGTTGCGAAAGCAGCTGTGGGCCAGAGCTGCAGCGAAATGCCTTGCTGTGCGTTAAACATTTTAAAGCAGCAGATTTCATAAATGCACCGGGAGGTACAGGAAAGGCACGTTTGATGCCAAGTGCTGTTCCTATGACCCTTATGCCGGAAAGTCCCTCTAACAACACTGCAACTCATAAATTAAAAACATAAAACAACATACAAATTAACAAATTTTAACTAAAAAAATAAATAAATAGAAACAAAACTTCAAATTTACTCAAAAACGTCAACCAGCGAAATGTAATTTTTTATTTTTCCTTACACACGCTCCTTTTTATTTTTACTCTCCCGAAAACTTTGACTTTTGTAGGTTCGATGTCAATTTGGCTTCTACCTGTTTTTATTGTACCATGAGTTTGAGTATCGGATCTCTCTTTCTTTTTTGAATATATCGACACTCTGATGTTGGGGAATGTACTTTGAATTTACTAGCAATTAGTCTGTTCCTTTGAACTTCGGACTAAAACCTGTGGAACTGTCAAACTACAATTTTACGCTCTCAAATGAGAGTAAAAGGAGAACAGATGCAGAAGTGCATAGGAACGCAAAAAGCACTATTTCCTGTAAAAACGTCAGACGGTTTGTTTACATGTCATTGGCACTACACTGATTTGGCTGAAATATCACTAAATAATTAATAAAATCTATACATATTTAAATATTTCGTTGTTTACTTCCATTTTATAACAAATATAAGGTTCTTTGCTTTCACCGCTTTCTGTTTTTGTTTG